GCAGGCCCAGGCAGGCAGGCAGGCTTAGTGGCCTGGTTGGACCTCTGATAGGTAAGTTTCAGTATTCAATTAATCTTATATTGTTTATTCTTGTGAGTGTAGGAATGAGTAAACCATGCGATGACATTCATTCAGAAATACTCTTGCATATACCTTCAAATATACTATTTCTATTTTGAATATGTTAAAATAAATGAGTAAATATGATCTGTATTGACCAATCATTTGAAATCAATCTTTAATAAATTTGGCTTTATCGAGAGTTAGTTTTTACTAATCTAGCATCATCATTTAATGTTAAGAGTCACTATGACTGAGTAGTTACATTGTTCGACATGTATCAACATGATACTGTGTTCAAAGCTCAGTATCACATGCCATAGAATGACTCTGGACGGACAATGCACTAATGACTCTATGTCTTGAATAATTCGTTCGATAGCATAATGAATGACGTACATCTATTCGTGTCACTAGTATGTGATTAGAGAGTGTGTATGGGAAGCTCAATCTATGACTATTGAAGCTGTCTGCTAGGTAGCACCTCATATCACAAGGTAGCTGAAAGACAATTTTATTCTTCGTCTTCATGTAATCTTCATATGGTATTTTCGACGGGATCGACTGATACATATAAATCATCTACCTTGGCAACTTATACGTCATACATCTTTTTTTAAGTATGAATGATATAAATTCTTTTCTTACCATCATGGGATTGAAATTATGTCTGTGCTTTCTTCTTATAGGCAATGAAATATACTTGAAGTTTCTTCTTTGAAAAATCCAATGAATATAGTAATATGTGAATCATTCTTTGAAAAAAGAGAAAACAAGTCGTCAATATTCTTAATCATATGATGCAAAAAGTCAAACTATGAATCATTGCTATAATTTAAATGAATCTCTGTAATTCAATCATTTTTCTTTTAGAATTCAATTGAGTTTAGAGGATGGCTTTTGATGTGCCTACTGGTATTCAATTGATTTACGTCAATGATGATTCATTTACAAGCACATTTTGTATCAAAGCATCGACAATGAATTCGAGATTTGATCTAATAGTAGTGCATGGATATATTTCGAACTTCTCACTATTTTCTATTTTGAAAATTTGAAATTCTTGTCATATTTTATCCCTAATGTGTAAATTCTAGATTAATTATTTATTATATCTCTTGATTTAAAAAAAAATGATTTTATTGGTTCATTTTGTTTGAAAAATAATATGTTTATTAGTTGGTTTTAAAATTTATGAAAAATTTTATTACTTCATAGATTGATCAATAAAAAATTCAAACAATGGTAGGCATCGATGCAAGAAATAAAAATATTCTTGATACGAAATATATTTGTCCTTCGTGTTCATTTATACTACGAGATCCTATACAGTTGACTCAATGTGGTCATCGGTATTGTCAAACATGTTTAAATATTGGACAGGAGTAAGGTTTATCATTAATTTGAAGTATTATTTTTTATTGTTCTTTCTCAAGAACAACAATGAACTGTCAACAATGTGAAACAGAAACATTACCAATTAACGTAAGATATCTTTTAATAATTAAAGATCAAATAATATTTCTTTTGTGTAGATACAACTTGATCGAGGATTCAAAAATGATATGAAATTACTATCTATTGATTGTTCTTTTTGTCAGTGGACTGGTATCTTAAAGAACTATCAAGTAATTTATTTTATATTTATTTTATTCTTCAATCTTCTTTCCTTTGTCTTTCAAAGGAACATCTTGATCAATCACATACAAATATCAAATGTGATTATTGTGGTGAACAGTTCAATTTAGTTATCAAATTCAATCAGCATAAAATCTTTGAATGTGAACAACTGATTGTTGACTGTTTATTGAAAGATTTTGGTTGTAATGAACAAGTATGAATATTCTCTAGATGAAATTAACATCCTAAAATTCATGTTCTTCAGGTTATTCGTGCTAAAATGAAATATCATTATTTGACTAAACAGCACCAACATGCAATACTCAATTTTGTTCGTCAAATGCTGTCGCAATTACATATTGATCATTCTCGAACAACAACTACAGAAGTTGTAAATCCTGTTACAGCTCAATTAGAAGAACTTTATAAAATGCTCAACATGTTATTAGATGGTATAAGAACATTGATTAATGATGAACTATGTCTCAGCAATGAATTACTTCAAACATTGACAGAAAAATCGAAAGTTAACTTATCCATTGAAGAATCAAATGTTTTTTTGGACGAAGCTAAACATAATCAATATTCATCATTATTGCAAGAAAATATCAATGATTTGCAATATGTTTCATATGATGGAACATTTATTTGGAAAATTACAAATTTTCGAGAGAAAATGAGTAAGTTGAACGCTTATACTTATGCTCAATAGTAAAAATAGAAAATCTTATCGAAAAGATAATCAAAGTATAACATGTTATTCAGTTTCTATGATATTGATAAATAATACGATTTACATGAAATTGGTCGAAAAAAAAAATGTCGACGGAAAAAATGTCGAACGAAGAATGTCGAAAAAAAAATGTCGATGAAAAAAATGTCGAAAAATAAATGTCGAGAAAAAAAAACCGAAGTGATTTTGATCGAAAAAAAAAAGGTCGAACATACAATATGTCGAAAATTTCAAGATACCGTCTGTTACAGTGTATTCTTACAACATTCACCTGGATCCTATTCTTTTTCTTTTATTTGATATATTTATTTCTGCTATTGCGTTTCTATTGCTTTTCTTTGACCTAGATCAGCCTTTCTATTCTTTTCTACTTTTGCCCCTGTTTTTTCATATGCATATATAAACGTTCATTTTCTGAAAGAATAAACAGAGAGAGAAGAAAATACATACATCTTAATTGCGTTCGTCGCTCCTAGCGAGCCCGAACCCTAACATCGCCATAAAACAATAGTGATTTTCCTTCCTATTCGTACTTGTTTTGTCTATCGAAACTTTGTTGATTAGCTAATAATTGTTTTCAATTGGCCGTTGAACAAATGACTAACTAGGGCAGCAGATAGATAGAACACACAAGCGAACAAACAAATCAATTATACTATTGCTTCATGACGGACGACCTATTTTGCCTGATTGTAGATATTTAAACATTTTTTTTTCACTTTCACCATCTCATTCTTCTACATGATGGGTAGCACCAACACGAACAATATTTCTTTTCTTGTTTCTAACAAAGGTAATCGTTTGTTGGTGTTTAATTGTTTCATTTACAAAATGAACAAGCAAACATCTTCCAAAATATATTGGACATGTAAAACTAAGAGCTGTAAAGCACATGTACATACTGATTTTAATAACAATTTCTTAGTTTCAAGTGGTGAACATAATCATTTATTAGAACCGGAAGAACTTGAAATCAAACAATTTCGACAAAATCTTAAGGAGCGTGTTATCAGCGAAACATCACCAATATCAAAAATATATGATGAACAGATCAGTAAAGCTCATTTATCACCAGATGTTCTTGCAAGTCTTCCACTTGCTCATGAAATGCGTAAGTCTATATTTTTATAAGCGTACTACATCTCTTAACACGTTTGTTTTCTAGAACCAGCATTGTGTTACGCACGGCGTAAATTAACACCTACTCTGCCTACTTCTTTTGCATTTGATATTCCAGATTGCTATCAAAGTACATCAACGGGTGAAAAATTCTTATTCTCCGATTCATTGGTTCGCCGTAGAGACAGAATGTTACTTTTCGGCAGCACCAAACAACTTGAAATATTATTTGATAGTTCAACTGTTTTGATGGACGGAACATTTTCTGCAACACCACCATTCTTCAGTCAAGTGTTTACGTTGCATGGATTGAAGTTTGGATGCAGTAATACAACTTATATGCTCTCTTTAATACAAACTCTATTTCTTCTTTCTCTTTTGTAGGTTTTCCCTGTGTATTCGGACTTCTACCTGATCGTAAGAAAGGAACTTACCAACATTTATTTTGTGAATTAAAAAATGTTGCTGCAACTATGAATCGAGTATTCAAACCCGAAAAAATAATTAGTGATTTTGAAACTGGTTTAATTCCGGCAGTAGCTGCTGAAGTAATTTAATAATTATTTTTATAAAGAATGCATATTTTCTTTTTAGTTTCCCGAAGCGAAGCATAAAGGCTGCTTTTGTGAAACACGATCTGAAAGGAGTGTTGAAGTGTTTAGGGGTAGAAATTTGGACCCACCCCCCCCTCCCCCCCCACAGACCGTGACAGACGCTCACGTGACCATCACAGACCGTGACAGACGGGCTTTGGACCCATCACAGACCGT